CAGAAATGCTAACAAAATGGCTAAACGTCTTATCTGCAAACTTGGAAAAAAGAAATTCAATTAGTTTAGTGTTTATTTTTGTGTTTTTTGTGTTTTTTTTTTAGATATTAAACCTTTAATTATTGGACAATTATTCCATGCTGTTACAAGATTTGGAATTAATTTTTTATAGAACATACATAATGAAGGGGGCCCCAAATTCCATTACCCCAAGAGCCTCTTAAGGCCTAAATCCGGTTCTGTGCTAGAGTTTACGATAAAATTTACAGTCAACCTTTATTTTACCTCCTCTTCATGGAAATGTTTAAATTTCGGATTTTTATGTTTTAAAAATTCTGTTTCCATTGTGCTTGACTTTTCTCTAAAATTTCGTTATTGCTCGCATGTTTGGTCCATTGTATTCTCATTTCTATTGTTTCAAGTCTCTACTTCATTTGCGAGGAGATTGTCCTGCATTCACTGCCATAGAGGAGGACTGATATTGCATAATAGTTTAGCACTCTTTTCATTGTTTCTAACGAAATCTTCATGTTTCTTAATACTTTGCTTAACTTTTGGAAGTCATATTTCGCTGACACAATGCACCTTCGGATTTCAATATTGAACTTTCCGTCCGCTGTTAAGACTCTTCGCAGATATTTAAATTCTGAAGGAAACCATCAATTGCCAGAAGACAACAAGCAAAATGAACAGCCCAACATGGAAATTAGAAATTGGAGATATAAAAATCAAACAAATACAACAATTTAAATATGTGGGAAGTTGATGAATTAGCGGACACAAATAATTCATGGACAATGAGGCGACATAATGGGGGGGATAGAGACGGAAAGAGGCACATTGGTACACAAAGAAGATAGACAGAAAGAAAAACAATGAAAAAGAGATGGAATTAAGTGGCATAGAGGAGATCATTTTTAACTGATATCAAAGAAGTAAAAAGAAATCAAGCAATCTAACAGATAGAAGAATAAGTGAGTTAGAAGCGACAGAGGTTAGTAAAAAAGGATGAAATTTATTGGTTGGTGTGAAATTCACCTGCGTGACCTTCAATGAGTTTGAGTTTTGAAGAGGCAAAAAGATCTCTAGCGTTTTCGAAAAAAAATGTATGTGACAGTTTTATTTGGATCGTAAAAGAATACTTTACTTCTAGGCCACAGGAATTCTTTTTAGAAGACAAAAAATACTTATTCATCCCTGCTCGGTGAATGAGCCAAAAATGAGTTAAACGCAGAATTGTAATATCTGTGAAAAAGGGAATTGTCAGCTCTTGCAAAATCTAATTAAAAGTGAATACGTCTTATATGCCAAAAAAAAAAAAAATGGATATTAGCATGTACCTGTGAATCAATAAACACAGCGCATATAAAATCATCAAATTATATATACCGTATATACCCGAGTATCTGAAGTCTTAATTTTGAAGCTAATTTTATGGGGGTCGCATCATACACGAGATATAAAATTAGCCTATGTAATGCTGGCGCAGGCTACGCCGTTGACCAAACTATATATCCACTTACAGTAGTCAAAAAGCACAGGTGTATTTAAAATAAACAGGATTTTCATAAAATGCATGTAATATTCACATATTAGTATCGTATTATAAAATAAAAACGCAATGTGTAACGTAACTAATGCTGCTTTCATCATTCTCTTTTACTTTATTAACATATTTAACAAGAAGATGAGATAAAGAGTTAGAGGCAAAGAGTTTAGTCTATTGTAATTTGGTCTCTCAAAAAGGAACTCGCATGATTCTCGGTATATGTCGTAAGATCTTTTTATAAGTTAAAATGTAGGGCTGCATGATATAAGAGATCTCTATATATATATATATATATATATATATATATATATATATATATATATATTTATTTGTTGATATATATATATATATCGGTATTAATTTTTAAATTAAATTTTTACTGCAGATCTTTTTAAAATCTTTTTTATAAGTTAAAATGTGGGGGCTGCATGATATAAGAGATCATGTGTTACACGAATATATATATATATATATATATATATATATATATATATATATATATATATATGGTTGGATTGATGTGAGTTTGTGACCCTGGGTTTCATGCTTTTGCGATCGTCAGACAAACTGATTAATTTTTTGAAAATTTTGGGTTTATGTAGATTGCGTGTATTGGTGTTATTATGGGAGTGGGGGGAATCGTCGTCATGATGTCACACATACTAACGCAAACATAGATGCATATCTGTATACCCGATGAGGTACGCAGACACACATACACACTCGCTCGTCCGCCGGAGCTCATACATATATAAACATATAAACATATGTGGTCAGTATGAGATTTGACATATGTATGTGTGCTGTTGTCTCTATACATACGTATTTGTATGTTGAAATTCAAAGATCGGAAGTGTAGCGAAAATTTCTCGTGAATGTCTCGTGAATGTAAATGTTTACGTTTGTAAAAACAATTCGCTAGATTTGGTGGACTCTTTCTGTCTAGTGAAGATGACTGACACCAGATAGGTTGGGTTTCGATACGGACTTGAGGCATTCGGTTGTCTAGTCGAATTGAGGAGCTGCGATACAGTACTGTCTTCGAATGATATGTATATGAATTTGTGTAGCACGCGAATGTTTAAATATATATGCATTTTTATGAGCTTGTTTAACTACAGTCTCCTCTAAAATTATTAGAACGGCATGGCCAATTCCATTCATTTGTTGTTGACTGAAAATCTTTGTGGTTCAGAGCAAAAGATAAATATCCGATATCTGGTGGAAAATTCATCAATCACTCATATATATATATATATATATATATATATATATATATATATATATATATATAACATAAAATAATCTGCCGGAGAAAAGTTTTTTTTTTTTTCTGAATGTAAAGACCGATAAACGCAATACACTCTGTTTAAAAATCAAAGCCAAAAATCAAGGCGTCAACTCAAAATTCGGTATCTACAAAATAACATTTGTGGAAATAATCAATCTGCATATGAAACAAATTTATTTTCTGAAAATGTCGTGTATAGACAATCAGTTATTTATATTTTTCTGCTGTACCTTTTTCAACAATTAAATAGCGCAAATGCAAAATCAAATAATAAAAATACCATAATTTTCTTTTCTCATCCATGTTTTATTTTCTAATGAAGATTAATAAAACATCTGAAATTTTTAAACGCTTTCTATTTATTCCTTCTACTAACATTCCTTCTGATTCCTATCATCATTTGCTCTATATTTCATGCCATTTAACACACACACACACACACACACACACATATATATATATATATATATATATATATATATATATATATATATATATATATATATTCAAACATATATTGTGATATAATGGAATATGCATACACCTGAGTTCCCCCTAACTGAAATATGATTGGCTGGTGTCCGGCATAAATACACATGGACGTGTAGGTACAGCAGATTTTAAGTCTATGACGACGCCCATTGGACTAAACCATTGGCCATCCTATTGGTCTACACCTATTACCTGCGACTACGACGAGTACCAGTCGATTACTGCTACAGTGTACTGTTTGGTTACAGTACCCAAAACCCACTTAGCGATCAAATATATCCCTTTCCAGGATATATCATATTGTTAAATATAAGACAACGACTGTTTAATATGTTTGAACAGGAGCCGTTCCAAACTTCGTATAATTGTTTTAATTTCGGGAGAAAATAAAGACAAAAATTGTCCAAAATTTGGATATTATATATTATGCGGTTTCTTGATCTAAGTGTTTGGTTCACATAAGCCCTGGTCAGAGTGGTTATATGGACATTTAAACAAGGATATTCACCCCCCAAAAATATTCTGTTATATTGATATAGAAGATTGCTATGCAACGATAACGGTCACGGAATAGCAGACACAGTTCGTAAATTCATGATGCGGTTCTATGATGTCGTATCACCTGAAAGACCGAAATATTAACAACAGAACAATATGTCTCGATGCAATATGACGTGTTGTGACTATGCTGAAATGTAATTTTGTTGAGTGTGGGTTGCTTTGGATTAACGTGTATGTTTGTGTATTTTTGTGTTATCAAATAATCTCTCTCTAATATTGTGTACAAGGCCATGTTTTTCATGAGAAAATATCATCTCTCTCTCTCTCTCTCTCTATATATATATATATATATATATATATATATTATATATATATATATATATGTTTGAGAGTTTGTGTCTATGTTTGTGTAATAAAGAAAACCTTTCCTTTTTTCTTTACGTGTGTGTGTCTGTGTGTGTGAGAGAGTAAAATAAAATCAGATAGAAGTGAGGTTTTATATTTATTAAATCGAAATATGAAACTTAATTTTAATATCCCCGTTCTTGTCTATCTGTTCTTAGCTTTAACCTCTAAGTCTGGCGAATAAAAAAAAAAACAAAAAAAAACGTATTCAAACGCCATAACACTTGAAAGAAAATGTTTGACAAAAACAAAAAGATTTTAAAAAATATCGAATATTCCAGAAGTTGTCACAATTAAAAAAGATTGTTTCCGATATTCGCGTTAATAAGCAAATAATAATAATAAAAAAAGAAAAAATCCCGAAGCGAAAATGGCAGATAAAAGAAAAGTGTGTAATTTCACACACATTCTCCTGAACATTTACACGTGATGATGATTCCATATTAATTAATATGTTTTTTGTTGCACGATTCTTCCATTGAAATGTCGTTAGCTTGTGGAAATCGCTGTCCAAAATGGGACCCCCTACCGAAGCCTAGCACTTCAGATGTGGGACGTGTTTGGGACGAAAAGAAAAACTTGAAAATACAAGTAAAATTTCTGGAGCAAAATAAACAGAACATGACCCGCGTGTTCTGTATTCCGGGTGTCTTAGCGAGGGGACGATGCCTAAGTTGTTAAAAAAAAAAAAAAGAAAAAAAAAAAAAGGCTTACCTGAAGGTAGAATTTGAGGTTTTGTGTGATGACACGATTTATTGGATTTTAAAAAGGTGAAATAAAGGGGTCACGTGGAATAAGGGAGGAAAAACGGAATAGCAGAAATAAAGGGATTAAGGAAGAGAGAGAGAGAGAGAGAGAGAGAGAGAGAGAGAGAGCTATTTATGAAAGTTTAAAAAAAAAAAGATAAAAATAAAAGATACTCTAGTAGCAAATATAAAAAGGAAAAATGTAAATTTAAAAAAATAAATAAAAATAAAGCTGTAAAAACGTAGAAGGAAAGAAAGACCAATAAGTAATGGAAAGACAATACAAGCATACTGGAAACACAATGAATAATATAAAAAATAAAAGATGAGATTAAGTAAAAGTCAAAGAATAAATTGCAGAAAAAGATGAGGAAAATTAAACCTGTTTGAAAAGCTAAAGAAATAAGGAAATGAAAACTTCAAATAATTTGGAAATACACCTTTACTTCTATTAAACTAACATACTTTGTATCAGAAATACCTTTTTTATATAATTATTGTAACCTAGGGGAGGGTACTGAATAGAATAATCAAACGAAGGTTGGTAATGAACGATAATACTTAGAACAAGAACAACATATATAGGATTCGCCAGCGGTGCATAGTAGTCAACTGTTAGAAGTGAATTAAGTGAATTCCACAATGAATCTCCAACTACAGGATATCTACCAACCGGCCCACGCGGTCAGATGTGGCACAAGGCCGAATTTAATGTGGAGTGTCCGAGCCCGTAGTTTCGGCAAAAAAATGCCCGTAGAACCCGTATAAAACGGGATCGGGTTGCTGTTTCCAGAGACGAGACTGCACTTCGACATAACCTCGTCTAGGGATACTCTCTGTTCGGAGGCAGAAAGTATGACAGCTGGAGACGAATCACCAACTGCAGGATATCTGTCAAACACATCACGCTGTCAGAGGTGGCGCAAGGCCGAATTTAATGTGGTGTATCCGAGCCGTAGGCTCGGCCAAAAATTCTCCGTAGAACACGTATAAAACTAGGTAGGGTAGCTGTTTCATGAGACGAGACTCTGCCCTTCAACATAGCCTCGTCGGTGGATCTTCTCTACCCGGAGGCAGAGAGTTTGACCAGTATAGCTGGAGACGAATCTCCAACTGAAGGTTATTTACTTTCCCTCCCAGCTAGACAGGATGTCGCACAAGGCCGAATTTAACGTGGGGGGTCCGAGCCCGTAGGCTCGGACAAAAATTCCCCGTAGACCCCGTAAAAAAAAACGGAGTCGGGTAGCTGTCTACCACCCCAGACGAGAATCTGCCCTTCGGCATAGCCTCGTCTGGATTCCTCTCTGCCCGTAGGCAGAGAGTTCAACTCGCTTAGCTGGAGACGAATCTCCAACTGCACACCAACAGACAGTATTTATTACTGTATTTATGTGAATGGGGACATACCCATTATCATCCGTAGATATGCTACAATAATAATACAACTCTTCACTTGAGAGTAAACTCAAGAAAGGTGAAAGCCCGAACTATTAATTATAAGAAGACAAAATGTACACTCTTTAGCAATGAAAGAGGCAGTATATCGTGTCAACTAAGTTTTGGGCTCCTTCAAGATGTAGCCGGTGGAGAGATTTTACAATTTCAATAATGAAGAAAGAGCCAACGTTCTTTTCTGATAATTTACACCCAAATCCACACCAAATTCTCTCTGAATGTGAACCTTCCATACCACTCCGGCTGGGTTGACCTTTGCGATCGACCCAAATGTGGCCGATCGGGTGCACTATTTCTAAGTCTGGAGTCTATATTCGTGCTCACCCCATTTTTTTTAAATTATAAAAATCCCCTGTAAGTACCTCGAATATCGACCGCACTTACGAAATGTGAATAACTGCCAGATTTTTGGTAATTTTTTTTTGTGAGTATG